CCCCCCCCTCCTCCCCCCCCCCCCCAACGGCCCTCCCACCCCTGCCTCTCACTCGGGGGACCGCAGAGTCCAAATGGCCTTTTGGGCTCCACACTCCCTGTGCTGCAGGAGGACTGCAGAATCCAAACAGCCGCTTGCGCCACTTGCTCCCACACGGCGGCCTGGCTGAGCAGCACGGAAGTCAGCCGAGCGCCAAGGCGGGAGGCAAAGGGGGGCAGGGCAGTGACGTTCATGGACAGAGGGCGGGGCCCGGAGCCACTGTCATGCCACACGTCACCGCCCCGCCCCTTTCCTCTCCCGCTGTGGCACTCAGCTGATTTCTGCGCTGCTCCGCTGGGCCACCGCAGGGGAGCAAGCAGTGCAAGCGGCCGTTTGGGCCCCGCACTTCCCATGCAGCACGGGTTGCCCAGAGGGAACAGCCAGCATTTCGGCAACAGCCCCGCCCAGAGGGACCAGCCACCATTTCAGCGTTACAGAGTCACAGACATCGGGCTACTATATATATGCAGTGAGCAGAGTTAGTTAACAACATGGAGATTAAACCACCATCAGTAGGTTTCAGAGTCAACAACCCACGGAGATGAACACAGGCAGTTCTCTCCTCCCTGAGCTATTGGGACAGATTCAGTCTACGTTATCACTGAACATTTTCTTTACAACTGTAAGGGCTAGAAGCTTCGAGCCAAATTTTTGGTGGGTGTAAATCAGCTGAGCGCTTTACTGATTTACACCAGCAGGGGAGCTGGTTCTTATGTGAAAACAAGAGAATGAACTATTACGTTCGGTTAAGAGGGATGAGGCCGTCAGACAAGTGCAGCCTGGCATGCTGAGTATCAGCTCAATCCAGCCCCTGCACACCGCTGTTTTCCTTCCTGCTTTCCCTGGCAGTGCTGGGGAGACAGGGCTTCTCAATTCCATCCCCAACCCTCTCCTCACTGAGTCAGTGCTCACCGCAGCCCCAGCTAGAGGGAACCGCGCTGCAGGAAGTGAAACTAATGAGTCAGTAGATGGTGCTCGTCCCGCCGAACCGGTCCAAGCCCTCTAGGAGCCTCTAGGGCGCTGTTGAAAGTGCCGTATTGTTGGGTGCAACTTCAGCATGAAAACAAGTCTTGCCCATCAGTTGTCAGGGCATTAGCCCCAGGAACTCTAGGGTAATTACATTGCGCTCACGCAACCCCTCTTGATGTTTCATCTGGAGACAGGATTCTTCTTACTCCCTGCCCTCAGCTATTGCAGAGTTCCAGTACCCAGGCTCGCCGACCGGGGGGGCAAAAGGGGAAATTGCCCTGACGTCCGGCGATTCAAAGGGGGCCCAAAACTCTTGGCCACCACAGCTACAGCAGCGGCTAGAGCTCCAGGTCCTTTAAACCAGTGTTTCTCAACCAGTGGAACGAGAACCCTTCGGGGTACTCGAGAGGATTCCGGGGGATACGTCGACACAACTGAAATTTGGAGAAAACTGAATTTTTGTTTTCAGTCTTCCAGCGCTTTATTACTTTTGTACTTTCTACACCCAAAAATGTCATCACCCGCCCGGCTACGATTAAGTTGTTTACACAAACGCGTGGCAATGGTAGAAAAAAAATTGTGTGTGTCTGAAAACTGTAGGAATTGGGGGTACTTATAACTTTTTTTTTTTAAAAGGGGGTACTTTATAAAAAAAGCTTGAGAAACACGGCTTTAAATCACTGCCAGAGCACCATATGACAGCTGAGGGGGAGGAGCATGCTGTGCTGCTCCAGCCCCGCCTCTTCCGCCCAAGGCTCCGCCCCTTCTGGGAGCATGGAGCTGGCTCTCCCCATACAGCTTGCCCAGGGCCTGCATGGGCTGTTGGCTCCCCTGCCTGTGCCCTAGCAGCCGTCACATTCCACCTTACATATCAGCAGTGGGCACAACACATGGGAGTCTGCAAAAGTCCGGAGCAGGGCATGCTCCTATGCTGTACAAATGTACAGGGTCATCCTCCGCTGCCTCCTTCCCCTGCAGGGATAGGTTCCCCCAGCGCCCTGTTGTGCTTGCTGCCTGGCAGAGAGTACCGTAAATTAGCGAATATAGCCCGCAGGTTGTCCATGTTTTTACCTACCACGCCTCCCCCCGCGGGGTATATATGTCCGTGTCTTATGCCATTTGATTTTTACTCATATTACAAGATGACAAGATCAACATAATAAAATCAGCATCTTCAATTTAATAATAATTTAGAAAGAGTGGCCATGTTGTTGTGTTGACTAAAATAAAATAAAAGTTAAAACGTTACTTACTGTGAAGCTACTAAATAAATAAATGTTAATACAAGTGGCAACCACATCAAAGACCACCGGATTCTTTTATGAACACAGCAGAAGTCTCTGCGGGTTATGTACGTCTGCGGGTATTCTAATATATTTTTTACACACGATAGAAAAACTGCAGGTAATGCATGAGTGCGTGTTATACTTGGACATGTGTTATATTAGCTAATTTACGGTAATCACTCCCCCCTCGCTCCATCAGGTCTCACCAGTCTGGAGTTGTAGATGGGGGATTTTAGCGGGGATGGCACCGGACAGCTGATTCGCTTCTCCTTCTGACGTCGGTTACAGAACCAAACCCGAACCACTTCCTTTTCCATGGAGAGCTGCTCTGCGATCATGGAGATCTCTTCCGAGCTGGGCTTAGGGTTCTGGTAAGAGAGGGCATGAGGTGAACAAAGAAAACCCTACAGAACTCCTCTAAAAACAGGGCTACTCAACACCCGGCCCATGGTCTGCATGTGGCCTACGGCCTATTTGTTTGCAGCCTGTGGTGGGGTTTGGGTTTACGCGGGGCTCAACACGTGGCCAGCGGGTAGGAGCCAAAACAAAAAAGGAGTCAATAGAATGGTCTTCTGTTAATATGCGTTTTAGTAGTTAAATTTCTGGACTGTCATTGCTCATTAAAAGTGCTGTCCTATGGGTGGAAATGGGATAAATATTGCATTTTATTAATATCAGCAGAACTAACTTAAATGGGGCCTGTGTGTTGTCTAGTCTCGCCTTAATCTTTGTATTCATGCCCGTCAGTGTGAAAGAAGCTATTTGCATATATATGCAACCACACTCAAGTTGCGGCCCTCGGCATGTGATGTGAGTATCATCGCGGCCTCTGGGGCTTCCAAAGTCGAGTAGCCCTGTCTTAAAGCATCAAGAGGCTATATGATCTGTTTGAGTGGCAAGAGGAAGAGAAGTCTGGATTTGCTTTTTAACTGGGGAGAGAAGATCTGGGTTCCTCTATGGGAAAGAGCAGAGATCTGGTAGAAGGTCCACATTTTGAATCCCACTAGTGAAAGTCTAGTGGAGTCATTAATATAATATATGGAGATATACCTAGCTCATAGAACTGGAAGGGACCTTGAGAGGTCATCGAGTCCAGCCCCCTGCCCTCATGGCAGGACCAAGTACCATCCCTAAATATGCTAGGTGTACCCACTAGGCACAGAAGGCACCGAGCATCCCACCTTAAGGGCCTCATGTCAGAATTTAAGGAGAAGCTGCCACCTAAGCTAGGAAGTCTTGTGATGAAGGGACTCAACAGACTCCAATGATCGGGGTTCTACCCTCGAGCGCTCCCTCAAACTTCCAGCATGACCTTGGTGCAGTCACTTAATCTCTGTGCCTCATCTGTAAAACCGGGAGAGTGAAACCTCCTTTCTCTCACCCTTTGTGGATATAAAACTCTTTGGTGCAGACACGCTCTTTCTATATTTGGACAGCACCTAGCAGCATGGGGCTCCGATCTCAATTGGGACTTCTAAATACTAAAGAAAACAAGAGCCTAACACTAGGCAATTGAGAAACTTTCCCATTTCTTAAGGAGTCCTTGAACCGGAAACTCCACACTGCCCAAAGTGGGCATGCTCCTGGTAATTTGAGAGAGGCTGTGTATTGTTCTTTTACCAGCCCTGGGAGGATTGGTTTGAATTAAGGCAGGAAGGTAAAATCTGGAATCAGCTGAAAATTTTCCATCTAAATGGTGTGTGGGGGAAGTGTGGAGGGGGAGAGGATTGGGAGGAAAATGGCATTTTCAACTGAACAGATTTGCTGGCAAGAAGTGTCTGCATTCTAGGGACAAATTCTGGTCTCTCTCTGAAAATCTGAATGTTCTAAAATGGAGAAGTTTTGATTCTGAAATGTCACTGTGGTGCCACATGCAAATTGCAGTTCAGGAACCTTATGCTCCCATCATCCTCTTTAGACTGATCTCCCTAGCTGGAATTTCATCTCCTATGATGCACCATAAGATAGCCATAATGCACCCCAGAAAGAGGGCAGACCATACCGACCAGGGAGCTCAGCCCATCAAGGAGGATGGGAACAGAAGCACTAAAACTACAACTCCCATAAGGCCCTGTGGAAGTAATTCAGAATTAAAATATTTTGATAGCAGCCTTCAACTTCCTGAAGGGAGGTTCCAAAGAGGATGGAGAGAGGCTGTTCTCAGGGGTGAGGGATGGCAGAACAAGGAGCAATGGGCTCAAGTTGCAGTGGGGGAGGTCTAGGTTGGATATTAGGAAAAACTATTTCCCTAGGACGGTGGGGAAGCACTGGGATGGGTTCCCTAGGGAGGTGGTGGAATCTCCATCCCTACCGGTGTTTAAGTCTTGGCTTGACAAAGCCCTGGCTGGGTTGATTTAGTTGGGATTGGTCCTGCCTAGAGCAGGGGGCTGGACTCGATGACTCCTGAGGTCTCTTCCAGCTCTGGGATTCTACGATTCTACTTTTGGTTTTTGCCAAATCTCAAAATTCTCTGTGGAACAAATTACCATTTTCCAACCAACTCTAACTAAAATCCTGTCTCTTTCAATTTTTCCGAAGCAGACACCTTTTTGGGTAAATAACAGATTTTCTTAATTTTCTGGCAATTCTGAAAAATTGAAAAAAAATCATTGTGGGTCAAACCAAAATGGCAGTTTTCTTTTTGAAATTTTTGATGAATCAAAGTAATCAAAATATTTCATTTGGTCTCAAATGAAACATTTCTTTTGGAGGTTGAGCATCTGACATTTAGAAAAGTTTAAAAATAAAATTTCTAAATGAAAAGTAATTTCTGATTGAAAACTTTGCATTAAAAAAAAAGTCACTACAAAACATTTACTTGAAAAAGAAAACCCCAAACAATCTCCCGAAATGGACGTGTTTGTGAAATGTTTTGATGCTCCCAAATCTGCATTTTTCATCAAAAAAAGTTTCCCGTCAACATTATTTTGGTTAAACAAAACCAAACCCCTAAAAGAAAAAAAGAAAATGGCTCTTTGTTTAAGAACTAGCAGGAATTTCTAGCTGGGAGATACAGCTCACAACATACAGTAAGATTTCTCCCTCACATCTTGAAATCTCTTCTCCAGCGTGGAACGAATGTTAGTCTCAATGCTGGTCCGTTTCTTTCTCTTCCGCCCAAACATTTCGCTCACGGAAGGGTAGGAGTTAGGGGTACTCACGGAAGAGTCCAAAGGAGTGGATTCTGGGGAAAAAGGGGGAACAAAGGAATTCAAGATGATTCTTTGTGAGAGTCAGTTTTTTTTTTCTGATGCCAACCACCTGTGACAATCTGCTGTCCTTGAAACGGAGAAAACCAAAAGTTTGTTCATGCCCCTAAGGCAAACATGACCAAAGTCTGCAAAAGGGCCATCCCAGAAACTTGAGTGCTGGCAACAGGCACCGAACATATGCCAAGCTGTCTGAAGGAGCTGCCTAGCAATTACTCCCCTTGGGGTTTGCCGCAATGATCATGAAGATTTACTCATGATTTATTGAGTTTTACTCCCTGTGACAGGGCGCCTGCCCTGCACTGGCCCTTTAAGACCATGACTCAGTCCCTGAGCAAGGGATGGGAACAGAGAGCCCAGCTGAAGCTGTTAGGCTAGTGAGAGCCCAGCTGTCAGCTATACATAGAGAAGCACAGTTTGCTTAGGAGGGAAGTCAGCGGAGGGCTGACTGCGGAGTAAGCAGGCGCTCCTAGGAGGGAGACATGCTGGGGATAGCCAGCAAGGGCTGGGAGAGGGTCAGCCAAGACTCCCCCTGGCTAGGGGCTGGAGACAAAACCCTGGTTTGGAGGCGGTTCACGATGTCGAGTAGGTAAGCAGGGCAGTTGAGACAACCCTGATGCCAATGATGAGCAACCCATATGGACTGTAACTTGCCCTGAGAGGGGCTAGATGAGGACAGTCAGGGGGCACTGAGGCAGGGTGGGGGCCTGCACCCTGACACTCCCGTAAAAGATCCTGCTACAGAATACACGGGAACCCTTCCTTCTAGCAGTAACACTTTTAAAGTTGCCCAAACCCCTTCTGCGATTGATGCTCATCAGAAAAGGAGTGAACGTTTCCCCCAAGTATTGTTTCCCACATTTTTGGTGACATTTCCCAACCAACCACCGTGAGCACTTACGTTTTCAACTGTCCATAAAACTATTTAAAGGATACACAGCGGAGGACTGCTGAGCTATGGTGAATAGGGAGCTCTCTCAATAATAAATATACAGCTCTAACAAGCATCAGTAGATCTTTGGGCACTTTATAAAGAGGTAAACCACAATTGACCCCATTTAGAGACGGGGAAACTGAGGCAGAAAGTAGCAAAGTGACTTGCTCAAGGTTACCCAGAAGAAGAGCTAGGAATAGAACTAAAAATCTATTGCATCTGAGGGCTACACCCTGTCCAAAAGAGCACTACTTCTCCAGGGGCCGAGATGGGTTTCTGCAATAATACGACACCCTGTTTATGTGGCTTAGCTTGCAACACCAGGATAACTGGTGTGACGGCGCGTTGGGGGTCCCCCATCTCCTGCACCCCGAAATGGCACAAACAGACTGCACCAGCCGGTGGAATAGAGGAAGTTTATTGCCTCTCCAGGATACAGCACAGCACAGATGGAATCTGGTCACAGAGCTGCGCTAGGATGCCTCAGGCCCCCTTGAGTTGCGGGGAGACTGGGCCCCTAAACTACAGCCCCTCTCCCTAGGCTGTCTCCTCCATGCTCCCAGACAGCAACCAACTAACTCTCTTCCAGCCCTGCCCCCCAGCAAGGGCAGCATTCCCCCTTCCTTTGTTCCTCTCCATGGGGGGTGTCTGGCCCTACTGGTTTGCATAGTGACTCATCCTGTTTTGCTGGGTCGTGGTACCCACAGCAGCCAGTGGGGGTTACCCCAGAGCCAGCAGCATAGAAACCAGCCAGGTACCCCCACTACGTCCAGGATAACTGGCAATGGGATCATGGCATAGTCTGAGACCCTGTAAGGTCAGGGTGCATTCTAAGTCAGTCTGCCCTCTCCCCAGAGGACAGTGGCCTGTGACCCCCTCAGTCTGGGAGTTTTTGCACGAACTGTAGCACCTTGTGCGTTTGGCTACTGAGGTCCCCAGTTCAGCCCTCCCGCAAGCCGGGCGCCGGGCCCTACCTGCATCGCTCAGCCACTTCTCCAGCAGGGGTTTGAGCTTGCACATGTTTTTGAAGCTCAGGTTGAGAGCCTCGAAGCGGGAAATGGTGGTCTGGCTGAAATCATTACCGTATAGCTTGCCCATGGCCAGTCCGACATCGCCCTGCCAGGGAAAAGGAATGAAAAGATTAGCCGAGGAAACCCACTTGCACCTCCCTGCGGCTGGATGGTTACATCCCTCCCGGGAAACGTCTACAGGGACAACCACCCAGCTTCCTCTCCCAGCCTAGTCTCTTCCACTGGAGGAGTACGGGGGGGACACAGACTCCCACACCCTGGTGATCCCCTAAGAGGTAGCAGGCACGGGCGCCGGGTTTGCAGAATGTTTAGCGGTGCCCTGAACGGGTCCAAGCAGATCTGTCCTGGCCACAGGATGGACCAGGGCATCCCCCCTGGGCCTGTACTTTGGGGAGCTTCAGGGGGACACGGGGCTCTGGACAGTCAACAGTGAGTGACCCAGCTGCACCCCGTCCCGCCAGCTCCTGGCATTGCCAGAAAGAGGCAGGGCAGGGACAGAGGAGGGGCAGGAGGCAGCAGAGGTGGGGCCAGCACCAGTATTCACACGGGTCCCCCTGAAACACAGAGTCCCCCAAAGCATGGGGCAGTTGCCCTGGTTTGTTCTATGGCTAGGACAGCTCTGAAAATATAAGATCAAACCTTGGTGGAGCAGGTCCTTGTTCCCAAATACTGGTGGAACACGAGCCCCACGGGCCCATATAACTCGCCGCCTGTGGTGGCAGGTGATGCTTATGCTTTATTGGAGGCTACAGATAACGCACCTTCAGGAGAAGTTTTCATCCGGCGTTCATCTGTGCTTTCAACGGGGTGTTCCCTTATGGGGCACATTGTACAACCCCTCCCCATGTCCCCTCCACATCAAGCCCTCCTCCTCCTTTGCATGCCCACATCTGTATCTAGCCCCGGTCCTCCTCTCCGTGCCCACATCTGCCTCCAACCCCCGCCCTCCTCTCCGTGCCCACATCTGCCTCCAACCCCCGCCCTCCTCTCCGTGCCCACATCTGCCTCCAACCCCCGCCCTCCTCTCCGTGCCCACATCTGCCTCCAACCCCCGCCCTCCTCTCCGTGCCCACATCTGCCTCCAACCCCCGCCCTCCTCTCCGTGCCCACATCTGCCTCCAACCCCCGCCCTCCTCTCCGTGCCCACATCTGCCTCCAACCCCCGCCCTCCTCTCCGTGCCCACATCTGCCTCCAACCCCCGCCCTCCTCTCCGTGCCCACATCTGCCTCCAACCCCCGCCCTCCTCTCCGTGCCCACATCTGCCTCCAACCCCCGCCCTCCTCTCCGTGCCCACATCTGCCTCCAACCCCCGCCCTCCTCTCCGTGCCCACATCTGCCTCCAACCCCCGCCCTCCTCTCCGTGCCCACATCTGCCTCCAACCCCCGCCCTCCTCTCCGTGCCCACATCTGCCTCCAACCCCCGCCCTCCTCTCCGTGCCCACATCTGCCTCCAACCCCCGCCCTCCTCTCCGTGCCCACATCTGCCTCCAACCCCCGCCCTCCTCTCCGTGCCCACATCTGCCTCCAACCCCCGCCCTCCTCTCCGTGCCCACATCTGCCTCCAACCCCCGCCCTCCTCTCCGTGCCCACATCTGCCTCCAACCCCCGCCCTCCTCTCCGTGCCCACATCTGCCTCCAACCCCCGCCCTCCTCTCCGTGCCCACATCTGCCTCCAACCCCCGCCCTCCTCTCCGTGCCCACATCTGCCTCCAACCCCCGCCCTCCTCTCCGTGCCCACATCTGCCTCCAACCCCCGCCCTCCTCTCCGTGCCCACATCTGCCTCCAACCCCCGCCCTCCTCTCCGTGCCCACATCTGCCTCCAACCCCCGCCCTCCTCTCCGTGCCCACATCTGCCTCCAACCCCCGCCCTCCTCTCCGTGCCCACATCTGCCTCCAACCCCCGCCCTCCTCTCCGTGCCCACATCTGCCTCCAACCCCCGCCCTCCTCTCCGTGCCCACATCTGCCTCCAACCCCCGCCCTCCTCTCCGTGCCCACATCTGCCTCCAACCCCCGCCCTCCTCTCCGTGCCCACATCTGCCTCCAACCCCCGCCCTCCTCTCCGTGCCCACATCTGCCTCCAACCCCCGCCCTCCTCTCCGTGCCCACATCTGCCTCCAACCCCCGCCCTCCTCTCCGTGCCCACATCTGCCTCCAACCCCCGCCCTCCTCTCCGTGCCCACATCTGCCTCCAACCCCCGCCCTCCTCTCCGTGCCCACATCTGCCTCCAACCCCCGCCCTCCTCTCCGTGCCCACATCTGCCTCCAACCCCCGCCCTCCTCTCCGTGCCCACATCTGCCTCCAACCCCCGCCCTCCTCTCCGTGCCCACATCTGCCTCCAACCCCCGCCCTCCTCTCCGTGCCCACATCTGCCTCCAACCCCCGCCCTCCTCTCCGTGCCCACATCTGCCTCCAACCCCCGCCCTCCTCTCCGTGCCCACATCTGCCTCCAACCCCCGCCCTCCTCTCCGTGCCCACATCTGCCTCCAACCCCCGCCCTCCTCTCCGTGCCCACATCTGCCTCCAACCCCCGCCCTCCTCTCCGTGCCCACATCTGCCTCCAACCCCCGCCCTCCTCTCCGTGCCCACATCTGCCTCCAACCCCCGCCCTCCTCTCCGTGCCCACATCTGCCTCCAACCCCCGCCCTCCTCTCCGTGCCCACATCTGCCTCCAACCCCCGCCCTCCTCTCCGTGCCCACATCTGCCTCCAACCCCCGCCCTCCTCTCCGTGCCCACATCTGCCTCCAACCCCCGCCCTCCTCTCCGTGCCCACATCTGCCTCCAACCCCCGCCCTCCTCTCCGTGCCCACATCTGCCTCCAACCCCCGCCCTCCTCTCCGTGCCCACATCTGCATCCAGCCCCGGTCCTCCTCTGCATGCCCATGTCTAATCCTCCCCACCTGGTGCCGCTCACGAGTCCACCGCTCCTCGGGAGATTTCCCGTGACCCCTCACCTGTGTGAACCCCAGCTTGATTCGCCTCTGCTTGAAAGTTTTAGCAAACTTCTCCAGCTCCTCCAGGTCGCTGGGCTCGTCAGACACCGCGGAAGACGGCAGGTGTTTTGCAGCTTGCAAATGCTGTGGCCCCTCCATGTGCGTCTCTAAAGATGACCCGGGCAGCCCTGAACGACCCACGGCCTGTTAAAAACACAACCAGAGTCCCAACCATGGGAAAACCACAAGGTTCCCTGCACCGGCGTTTATACAACACATTACCGAGCGTGGCTGCGGGTGGATAAACAGCAGCCATATCCGGCTGCAGAGGAGGCTGCATGTTAATGGTGGGTAAAATGACCCTTCCAGCTGAGTGTGGGATGAGATGGGTAGGTTGTTGTAAGGGAGGTGGGCTCAAAGTTCTGGGTGTAGGTTGGGCTGCTAAAAAAAAAAAGCTGTCAAACAAATCCTAGGGAAATTATGGGGAGCTGGTATTCATTTGGGTGACAGTTATAAAGTAACAGCAAATACCTGGTGTGAAGGGAGGGCATTGAAAAGAAGACTGAAAGAACTGGGCTTGTTTAGTTTGGAAAAGAGAAGTTTGAGGGGGGACATGATAGCGATTTTCAGGTATCTAAAAGGGTGTCACAAGGAGGAGGGAGAAAAATTGTTCCTCCTGGCCTGTGAGGATAGGGTAAGAAGCAATGGGCTTAAACTGCAGCAAGGGAGGTTTAGGTTGGACATTAGGAAAAAGTTCCTAACTGTCAGGGTGGTCAAACACTGGAATAAATTGCCTAGGGAAGTTGTGGAATCCCCATCACTGGAGATATTTAAGAGCAGGTTAGATAAATGTCTATCAGGGATGGTCTAGACAGTACTGGGTCCTGCCATGAGGGCAGGGGGCTGGACTCGATGACCTCTCGAGGTCCCTTCCAGTTCTAGTGTTCTATGATTCTATGAAAAATGAAAGGAGGGACCCTTGACCAGCGTTCCCTGTAAGCTGAGCACTTGGGTGACCACGCAACAGAGATTCAAATGCCATTCAGCTGATTAGCAGAGTGCCCACAGCCGGCAGCATGTGTTTATATGGGTGGTGCACATTTGCATGTGCCTCAGTGCACATAAAATTTATTCCACACATAGACAGAAAACAAACGAGAGTGAACACAGCCCTTGATTTGTCTGATCAGATGCAAGCGTTAAGGAAACAGCGGCAGGAGCTACTAGAAGGTCCAAGCCCAGGGAGTCTCTGCATAGCCTTGTGGGTTGGGCTGTGAATTTCCAAAGCCAGGGCTGGTCTCATTTTGAGACCCATCTGAGCCTCCCAAGCCTGACTGGGTGTAGGAAAAAGGAAGACAAAGTGTCTGCGTCAGGGTTCCACTGTGGGGCCCAGGCCTGGAGAGAATTCAGTTTGCCCGACGAAGGTTTTTGGCAGGCCAGGGAGGGTCACCCATAGCACACCAGTGCCCACGGAGAGAAGTGACCAGACAGCACCAGTAGCTCCTCAAGCGCCCTGCCTCCGCGTGACCCCACAGAGGGACCTAGGAACCTGAAGGCTTTGAAGGAGCAGTTGGGGCCACACTCCATTCATGCCCTAGAGCAAGTGGGAGGGGCAGGTGGCGCTCTCCACACGGTGCCAGAAACTCACGGCCCGGGTGCCGAGAGCCCACGAGTGGGCATGAACGGAGGCTGCCACAAAGGCAGACAAGGCCTCACAAGCAGGCACAGAGCGGAAAGGTGTCGGGCTGATTGCTGTGGTTTGCATAGCACCTGCGCTGGGCCAGGTGCTGCACAGGGCTGCAAGTGGGAGGGGCAGGTGGCGCTCTCCACACGGTGCCAGAAACTCACGGCCCGGGTGCCGAGAGCCCACGAGTGGGCATGAACGGAGGCTGCCACAAAGGCAGACAAGGCCTCACAAGCAGGCACAGAGCGGAAAGGTGTCGGGCTGATTGCTGTGGTTTGCATAGCACCTGCGCTGGGCCAGGTGCTGCACAGGGCTGTAAAAGAGACCGTTCAGCAGGGCTTCTGGGGGTGGAGTGTGGGCTGGGCCCTGCCCCACCCGCCTGCCCTGTGCTCTAGGGCTTGTGGGGAGGGCAGAGGTGCAGTGAGGGTGTTATGCACCCGGGGGCACAGGCAGCATTTGCACACCCCTCCCTCTGCACGGTAAGGCCCCAAACCTGGCACATGGCTGAGCCTGACCCTGGGAGAAGGGGGGGGGGGGGGAGCTTGTACCGCATCTTCCCCCGCCCCCTCCAGTTTGGGGCCAGGCCCCCGCACGCACTAACCCGCTGGCAGAGATGGAGGAGGGCCGGCTGGGGGTGGGGAGGAGGCTGCAGCCGGCGGCGGCGTGCAGAGGATGGAGCTGGTGAGCCGAGGGATGACAGGGGGAGCAGAGGGGGACTAAATTGGTGCCCCGCTAGTGTGGCACCTGAGGGCAACTGCCCCCTCCCTTGCTACACCACTGGGGGAGGGGCTGGAGACTTGCCCTTGCAGTGGGGGGTGGCTTACAGAGAGGAAGGGGAGCTGGAGCCCTGCCCCTGGGCAAGGCCTCATGTGGAAGGGGCAGGGCTGGGGGGTTGCCTCCCCCAGCCCTAGGTTCACTCACCTGGGTTGCAAGGGGAGGCAGGTTACCTCATCCATACGGGAGGGGGGGAGCGTGGCTCCCCCCAGCCTGGGCTTCCATCGGCTTCCCTGTGGCAAATGGCCCGTAAATGAACTCAGCCCCCCCTCGAGCTGAGGAAGCCAGCGGGTAGCTTACCTGGGAGGCGAGGCTGGGCCCCGGCTGCGAGAGGAGGAGGCTGCTCTGTTGCTGGGGGAAGGCGAGGATGTTCGGCTGCAGAGCTGAGGAGAGAAGGGGAGAGAAATGCGATGAGCGCGGCCTCTCCCACACTCGGCCGACCTAGAGTGGATAGTGTTGCTGTGACAGTGCCCAGAGAGGAGATGCTCCGACTGTTCTGTGGGACACAGACACTGTGCCATGGTCCCGTGGGCAGAACGTACGCCATCTCCAGAGACCGCCGTGTACTTCTGCAGCAAAAGACGGTACAGGGGTCCCCCTGACATCAGTGGGGCTAGCACACATGCTTGAAAAGTCTCAGGGGGGTCGCCGTGTTAGTCTGTGTCTGCACACACAACGGGGAGTCCTGAGAGAGCTACATCTGCACTGCACGGCTATTTCGGGCTACCCAAGGGATCCCGAAATAGCTACCCCGCGTTAACACGACCCGGCTGTGATTTCAAAATATTTTCCGAAGCCACGGGCGCGCTATTGCACGAGGGATAAGGGATGGCTTGAAATAGCATGTGGTTTCAAAATCTGGCGCTGGGGAGATGCGCCGAATTTCAAAATACGCTGTTTCAAAAGAGATTCGAGACAAGAGACGCAATGTGCGTAGCGCAAACTGCGTATCTTATTTCGAGTTTAGGATGCTGTGTAGACGCACCCTAACAGATTCCTTAGGGCATAAGCTTGTGCCACTCCAGTTCATCTGATGAAGTGGGTTTTATCCACAAAAGCGTATGCCGTAATAAACCTGATAGTCTAAGGTGTCTTAGGACTCCCCATTGTATTTACACATGCTTGAGCATTTTACTGATTTGGGACCTTAGCCTTTGAACTAGACAGACATTTTCTTATTCTGATGGGCACAACAGTCCCCAGATGTGTCCCGGTGATAGTTGTATACTGCCACCATCTGCTTGTTAAATAGAGCTTTTTATCCATAAACCTCCAAGCCTTTTACAAAGCAGGAAAACAACATGATCTCGATTTTATAGATGGGGAAACTAGCATCATAGGTGCGTCTAGCTTTTTGGTACTATGGGGATGGGAAACCTAGTAATACCATTCATGATTGGTAGCAGATTTCTGTGCTCTGGCACTGAAGGTCCCTGAATTCAAACCCCGACAGCTAAATCACTGCTAGATATTGGTTCTTGAACTGTGGTTCTACCTTGCCAGCTCTCTTCTGTTGATTATTCTGATGCATCAAATCTAAAATCTGATTGAGCTCTGTTCTGGTTAGTGGGCCTAAATATTTACCCATAATTGTTAAAAAAAAAAAAAAAAGTCGCCACCACTTATCACTTTTTGCCTGCATGGGACCTGACTGTGGAAATAGGTCAAGTTGCTTTCAAGAAAGAATGTTATGAATGGGGCAAGAAAACCGGACACCGAGATCTGAATTTGTCCAAACAGAAAGAGGCCCGCTGGTAAGATTCGAGGACTGTGTTGGGGTTAATAAACAAGAAGAGGTGGGTCCAGAAATTAATGGATCAAAGCTGAGTGGCAGACACTAGGCCTACTAGGTTGACAAGGAACGAACTATGAAATCCCAACCCAGAGGGAGCAGACCAGGCTGAAAAATTTCCTCCCTGTGATGAAGGCTTTGTTCTAGGAACCTGGTTTTTCACCTGAGAGTCCTGTATCATCACAACATGCAACCCTAAGCCAATCACTGGGGATGTAGAATTGCCAATGCTTCAGAAGCACGTACAATCCTTTTCTGTCTCCCTTTCATTTTGCATTAATTTCTGCCCTTCTGTTTCTTTCCTCTTAATCGCTTCTAGGGTTGCTAATTTTAATTCTACGCATTCCCGCAGGATTCCTCACATGGCAATCTTTAATTAGAGATTGATCTCTAGTTCCTAGTGGGTTGGCAATCCTATTCTCTCTCTCACTTTCTCGGCTTTTCATCGAATCCTGAAATCGGCCGCACTGCACCAGCCCAGCGAGACGAGATGGCTAAAAGCTTGATCTGACTAAGGGGAAAGCACTCAACCAAATGACATCCCAGACCAGAATGCGAGCCAGCCTCCAAGCAGCAGGTGTTCTGGTTAATCTGCCTGCCAAAGTATCCCTTAGTCAAAGGCTGGGGAACCTTTTTAGGTTCAGGGGCTGCTAGTCCACAAATAAAATCTGTTGGGGGCCTTAGATTCCCCACCCCTGCCTTAGTAACTGGCTAGCTGTCCAGTGCTCCAAAAACTTCCACCAAAGCCATAGCTGCCCCCCCTCTCCACTTTTCTATCCTGTCCTCCGCCTTGTGTGTCTCTGCTAAACACAGAAGTGAGTAGCCTTGACAACAGAGCGGACAGAAAAACGAATTCTTTCCTTGTCATCGAAGGTCATTCACGGAAATGAGAGACACTGAGATTGCGTCTCCAAAAACGAGACACACCTAAACACGTTTTGATTACGTTTGTTTCACATCATGACTTCATTTCAGCGCCAGTATAAACGCTGACTTGGGTGTCTTGTTCTTTCTTCGGTTTGGTGGATAAACTTTCAGCTTGAGGATGAATGTTGTTGGGTGTTTGTCAGGGAATTGAGTAAATCTGGGTCTCTATAGAAACTGCCTTGACTCTTTGTATCAGGGTCTTAATGCCAGAGAAAGAATTTAGTACGTTTAACTCTTTTGACCCTTGAGCTGCATGGGGACTGTGGAGCTCAAATGGTCGCTTGTGCCACTTGCTCCCCCGCGGCGTCCCGGCTGAGCGGCGCGGAAGTCAGCCGAGCGCCACGGTGGTAGGTGAAGGGGGGCAGGGTGATGATGTTCACAGCCAGGAGGCGGGGCCTGGAGCCACTGTCACTCCGCACTTCTCATTTTCCAGGCTCAACCAAACCTTGACCTTGGTTTAAGTTAGGGTAAGAGGAAACTGCATTCCAAATTTGGGGGTACGACCTCTTATGGCTTAAGAGGAGTTTGTGACTAATGGACAAACAGATGCACAGACAGACTCTCTCTCTCTCTCTCTGTATATAGATAGATAGATTAGATTAGAAAAAAACAAAACACATTGTTTCCCCAACCCCTATCTCCCCCCCAGAAAAATGAAAGCTTGTTACAAGGATAGTCTAGACATTTACCAGAAATGCAGACTTGTCCGGGAGTTAAAATTATGATCTAGATTCAGAAATCACTGGGTGAAACTAGATGGCTCATGTTATGGAGGACATCCAAATAGATCATCATACGGGCCTTCAGTTGTACAACCCTCTCAATCTACCATATCAGGACCCTCCCCCCCAGTCTCCTATACTTTTATCACATTTAGACTCAGAGTGCTGCTTTTCCTACT